GGGTCAGCAAGTCACACGGCAATCCACAGGGGTCCACTGGGGTCCACAGGGAACCACTGGGATCCACTGGGGTCTCCAGTGAGGCCGCAGCGCGTAAGAGAGTTCCAGGGTTTCCGGTCCAGTTCTCGTTTGCACCGCGGCTTTCCGTGGTTGTGCTTCCTCTCACAGTAGGCAAGACAGCAACGTTTCTGGAGTTCAGAGAGATCGTCTCCTAAATTTCTTTCCAGTGACTCTCCAATGATGGTTTGTCTATAGTGTCTATAGGTGTCTCGTATGAAGATTTTACGGTGGGTATGAAGAGGTTTGTGGCTGTGAACCTTCAGCCGGTTCCCCTTGGCCTGCAAGAGCCCACGAGCCGCCCTCGCCCGCCCTGCACTTGCCGCACCGCGCCCGGCGAGGCGCACTCCGAGATTAACTACCCTGATATCATTTAAAAAGACACGTGAACCTAGCGGAGGTCTGGCGCAGTCCAAAAAGCATGGAAGGAAACGACAGGAGAGGAAGCAAGGCAGCAGTAGAAAAAAAATATACCTTCCGTCGCTGACACGCGAGAGGCGAGAAGGCGCCAGACTCCGCCAGGTTTTCACCTTCTAGACGTCCCCACTGACTGCGTCGCTCTGCGTGCCAAAGCTCTGGAGCAACTACAGGACGTCGGGCTGTAACTGTGACAATGTAGTCCAAACGAATCAAACAGCCTCAACAGCCCTGGGAATTATTTTTTTATTCTTGTATATTCGAAAATACGACCAGGTTATCTGCACGCGCACATAAGTCTGCTTTTTTTTCACCCTCCTTAAAACAAGTCGAGAAGGAGGACCATAAAACCTCGGCGAGTAGTGCCCGGCGCGCCCGTTGAAGCCCACGCTTCACACCGCAGACACAAACACACCTGCTATACGAAACTACTCGGACCGGACTGGATGGCCCACCTCATAAATCCCGTCTCCAGCCCGCGCGCTGCTGAAGCCCTGTCAACTCATACTCACGTCGTCTACAAAAAAATCAAAAAAAAAAATCCACCCAGTCATCTCAATAGGTTCCGCACTCGCGCTCAAGGTCACACAATCCGAAACGTTTTCAACCGCCGCCGCAGTTTAACAAACGTTGGCTATGCCCAACATTTACAGTCTTCGTCCCCATGCCCCGCTGCTCTTCCCTAACGCGGTCACTCTAGTCTCGCTTCACGGTTCCCGCCGGCGGTGGCGGCAACAGCCCCACACACATGCACAGGGGCACACGCGTAAAAAGAGAAAAAATGACGAGCGTCAGCGGGCAGTCCCGGCAGTCCGCACGGAATACACAACGTGTGCGACCGCCAGCTGAGCACTGGAGGAAGAAAGATAGTCCCCCACCCCCTCCCCTCACCTTATCGGTGCTACCTCCCGGTGCTACCTCCCGGTGCTACCTCCCGGTGCCACCTCCCGGTGCAGCTTGCCCACCGCACCGCTCACCGCTCCGGCGCACAGGCGGGCCAAAGCAGCAGCACCGCGGCCACCGCGATGAAAAATGCCTTCAATCATCATAAAAGTTTACACTGCAGTCCACTGCATACACACACACACACACACGCTAGACCTCCGCGCGGAGGGGCCGGGCGCCCCGCCGCCGTCCGTTCGTCCTGATGGCGACCGCGCACGCCACGACCCAATACCCACCGGAAGGAGGATTTGGAGAAAGGAATAAATGAAAGGGTTGCTCACTGCTGCGCGCCCGCGGCGGCTGATAAGGCGCATTCATTAAATGTCCGATAAGAAGACCTCGATCGTATCATTTATTAATATTCTTTATGATTATCGCGCGAGCGGGACCTGCAAATGCGTCAGCAGGTGTGTGTGAGTGTGTGTACGTCTGAACACTTTGCCCAATTTCTCCTCCAGAGACGAAATTAAAACAGGCAATTTATAAGAATACCCGATGATCATAGGTCACGCAGGTCACGACCTTCTCCTGATACGCCTAAGGACGAGCAATTTTGCAGCGGAGTTCACCACCAAGGGGGCAAAAAGTGCGACCTCTCCCCAAAAAAGGAAATTCTCTGGCCATGCACCCGGCCTGTGTGCAACAAAGTAGTTGTGGAAACCAGAGAGGAATCACACAGAGACAGGCGTACTGACAGGCACACGGACACACACACATTCACACACGGAGAGCTTCACACGCGTTGCTGGTGTGGCCTTCGAAAGCCCGGGGCTGCTGGGAAAAAAAAGCCGAGTGGGAATCTAAGGACAGAAGCGTGATGGGACGGCAAGCGACATGGGCAGTAAGAGAACAGCAATGTCCGAGTCCCCGATAACCATTGAAGTAATGGTAGAGACTAGTCGGTGAGTCCTGCCAAATACAAAATCTTTCGGTTGTAAGGTTTGATCTACTTTTGCTCACTTCTTGTATAGCAGCTTTTGCACTGGACGGCAAAGGACAGAGGACAGCTGCTTGTCCAGCCGGAAGAAGCCCAAGGGGATGGGCACCCGGAGCGGGCAAAACCGGCATAAGAATGAAAGAGTGAGAGAGAGAAAAAAAAAGCAGTGAGCAAAGAAGTCTACAGAAGCGGTCGTTTCCGCGAACCTGCAAAGAAGTTTGCGGCGGCGGAGTGGGAGGAAGAACAAGAAGAGAGGAAGATGGGCGCGAAAGAGAGGGAAAAGAAGAGGTGGCCAGCGGGCCGTGCAGCCTTAACAAGCCTAGGAGTCAGTGTAAAGCTTTTATTGCAGAGCGTAAATGAAATTAGAGACTCGCTGTGTGTGTGCGAGTGCTTGTCTTATTGTCTAGTACTCTCGGGTGCGTAAAGCGCGTGCTGAATTATTCCACTAAATGTCACTCTCCCTTAACGACTCCGTGTGTGGCAGACGTGTGCGGATTTTATTTTTTTTTTACAGCAAAGGCATTGACGACCACCCGCGCACTTTTGTTCAAAAGGGGGAAAAATGCATTCTCTCAGAATCTCGCATTTCTTTCAGTCTCTCACATTTCTCTCAGTCTCTCTCATTCGATTCGATCTGTGCCGGTCGGATCAGTTCGCCCGCGTCACAGCTGTATACATATTGTGATGGATCACGCGACAACGGCTGGCTTCGCTTTACAACTGCAGTTGCGATTGCAATCCTCGCGATCAGCAATAGCGATAAATACAGTGAAAATAAAAAGTGCATCAACTGAGTGGCCAAGGTGCAACTGCAACTATAACAGTGGCCGCCAAACAGGCCCCACAGTCCATTCGTGTATGAGAAACATTTCGCGTCGACCACTCCATTTTTCATTTTTCTTCCAGTATTACTATTATCATTATTTTCGCGTCCATTAACGATAGTATATAGTGCAGCCGGCGCCGCACATGCAGTCTGCAGGCGTCGCAACAGACAACCAGGGGCGCTATACCTACTTACCGCACGCGAGCGAAGCCAATAAAGAAACCCAACACCAGCAGCATAAGGGCTTTCACAACATCGGCGAACGCAACGCCGGCCGCGGCAGCAGCAGCCGCAAAACTAATGTCCGCAAGCGTCAAAGAAAGCAACGAGTTGAAAAACATCACGGGGTTATTTGAGTCTGCTCTCCTGCATTGATTCTACTGTGACGGTTCCTGTCAGTCGGTTTTCACAAAATTCATGTGCCCTCTCTTTCCTAAAGACAACTCAAATACCACACTATCTTGTGTTATTCCGCGAGAAAATCATCCTCGTCTATAAGGAAAATTTCCATCCCGAGTAATCTTTACAACGAAAAGGGTTAAAGAATTATTTTTGCGAGCAGAAGTTGCAGGAGCAGCGAGCCTCTGCTCCCTGCGAGCAGCACCGGGTTGTCGCGGCCATGCCGTGGAGCCGGCGGCCAGGCGAGCAGGCAGGCAGCAGGACCGCCCCGCGCGTTGCTTTTATTTCTCCTGCTGCAGCAGGCCTGTAGCTGCCGAAGCCTTTTTATTGCCTTTGTTTTCCGCGGCGACATCGGCCGGTCCCGCCATTGGCTCCAGCGTCTGTTGCTGCTGCTGCCGCCGCTGCTGCCGCCGCTGCTGCTGCTGCTGCCCGGGCAGGTCGCCGGGCCGGCCAGCCGGCCTGCACAGGAGGCGAGTCTCATGAGGCGCCCCTCTGAAAGCGGACAGGGAGTGAGGG